AAAGTACTCGGTTTATTATCCAGTTATTTTAAACTACTGTCAACGGATCTATTAGTTGCTAAGAAATCCATTTTTGCTTAGCAAAGAGCTGCGGCTAAATAATGTTAAGGGTTACTTAGCGATCAGTTTACCTATCATTTCGAATTCTGAATAAACTAGTCTCCTTAGTAGTGGCTAGCAAAGGGATCTACAACACGCGTTTTGTCCTGTTTGGGACTCGTCAGCTGGGTGCACCTGCACTCCATTGAGTGGTGGTGTTTTCCCACTGCAACTCCAACCCAGCACACACTGCTTCAAATATCAGTGTCATCCACTGAGACCATTGGGGCACGAGAGCCACCTTTTGTGCAAAGTGTATCAGTTATTGATACTTGTAAAATCCTGTTATACTGGGTCGAATTGATCGAGACATCCACACAGAAGTCCGTATGCCAAGAGACGTCAATCAATTCGATCCAGTATGACAACGGGAAATTACATGTTCCAATACATAAAAGTGGTTTTCTTAAGTTGAAAACTTTTGGAGGCTAGTAATCGACAATGTTATAAATAAAAAGCGGCCATTTAGCATCCGTCAGCTTGCTTTATCTCTGATACCGTCGAGGTATCTGACTACCTATTAAAGGATTAGTATTCTGTGCTGCAGTCAGCTCCGTTGGCTGTTGAAAAAGGTTATATGAAGAGACTACATGTTTTCAACCATAGGTGCGTTCTCAGCATTGCTTATGTATGCTGCAATCACCTCGTAGGAAATATTTAAGTTAAGCAAAAGGTACTAGGCAAGGAAGGAAAGTCAGTCGATGAGTTTGTGAATCTTCATCTACTAAGGTGGCTTGGAAATATATTGCCCATGCCTAGTCCCCGTCTACCTCGACAATTAATGCTAGGAGGAGTTGGTTGAGGTTAGCAGAAGTCTCAAGGTGACCGAACAAAGACATGATACCAGCTGATGAAGTCTCTGAGTGTTGGTCTGAGCCGTACATAGAGATGTAGACTACCTGGTTGAGGTTCTCAAGACGATAAGAATGAACAGTTGCAGATCCTTGATGATGTGGCTGAAAATCGATTACAATGGCATAGATGTATTCACTCTTTGACATCTTCAAGAGTATGAACATTTTCACCAACCTTCATTGATTTATCTTCTCTTTCCATACACGTTGATATCAGTCTTTTTCGATTCAATTCTTCATTGCATCCTTCTGTAGTGTGGAAAGTCGAACCAAAGTACTTCTGCCCGAGATTCTACGTTATTTCTCTCTATCTGTCTGATAATATGAATTTTTCATCACTATATTGCTCTTGATAAAACAGCGAATTTACAGTAAATATTCAAAGTAACTGCATAAATATTTTTTTGTCAAAAGATAATCCTTTCCTGAATATCGCAGTGGTAAAGACTACACCTTTGGTATCAAGTGACAAAGGTTTGAATCCCAGACAGAAGACAAGTTTCTTGAAGATCGCGCATATACCTCACTGATTGGTAGATGCGCCTAGATGGAGAACTTCCCTCTCTCTCTTCAAACACTTAAAACCAAACCAAAATGTACTTCATTACCCTTGTTAACTAGCTTAGTAGTTACATTGCAGAATCAGTGCACAGATTTTCATCAGTACCTGAGATTTGATAACTGCATCCGCCTTCGTTTGGTAGCCACTTCATATGTCATAGGTTCTTTGCATTACCATATTCTACTTGTTTTCACCAAGCTTTAACTAATGATATTATTACACTGGTCTTACTGGTTAACCAAAAATCCGAATGTAACCTGGTTATCGATACTCTCATCTTAAGATTATCTGCTAGTCTTGTCATTTTAAGTGGTGTACACGTGAATCATGTGCTCTCATGCATAGTAATAAATCCAACCTTAGTATTTCAGAATGTTATTCAATTCAGGTTAATGAGTAATTTATGAAATTAAAAGTAGTTATGGAGTACATATTGGTTTGATCGATGCATATTTGTTTCTATCTCTTTTTTCTTCGCGTTCTCAGTTTACCGCTGTTGAGCATATCTATTACCAATTAGTTTCGTTAATAAGATAGGCTTAAATATGTTATATACGGCTAAAATGATAAATGTTAATTTTCTGGCATTGATCTATTCTTAGTCGGGTTTGTTGAAGGTGTGTAGCTTACTGTGTCATCGTAGTAGTGCAACGTCAAAGCGCGAATGGATAATAGATATCTCTCATCACTATAAATGATTTACTAAAATCAGTCTGTCGTAGCTAGTTAGCATAAATAGAAAGACAAGGAACTGCCAACGCTCTCGGACACAATAGCAATGGGGAAAAATAAACCTATGCGGAACTGGTCAAATGGTTTATTACATCACTTAAATTCTAAGTATGACCTAGACTTTAATTTCATCAAACCGCGGATTATTATACCAAGTCAAATGGCCCATCAACTTCTTTTTGACTTGTGTTATTTTCGGCACTGAGGTCATTATTCTTTTGGGTTTTGAAATAGTAAAAAGGCAATTTTTAACACAAAATGGTGTCATTTAAAAATAAAGACAACTGGTAGTGTTTTTTATTTGGAATCGTATGACAAAGAATGTTGGCCCTTCGATCCAAACGTAATAATGATCTAAAGGTAACGGAAGGGTAGCGACAGGATTGGTTTCTTTTATTGCCTTTAATGTTTGCCTTTTCAGCTTTTATGACAACTGATATTATTGCTTCGATTTCTTTATCCTTCTCTTTGTTGTCCTCAACTTTGATGTGCTGATGTGAAAGGTAAGAAGTTGAACTGATGCAGAATTACACCATACCATATGTTATTCTTCAGTTTGAATTAGATGTTTCATGTTCTCTGCAAACCTCATTTTTCTCATTCTTTATACATTCCTATTCTTTAATTGAATGAAGTTGGGGTCAAAACGATCTATGATCTTTGTCTCATGTGAATATTTATAAAAAGCACTATGTTCTTATTAACGTAAGTCAAAATAACAATGAGATCAGCAGTGTCAGTATCTGTAGTATTCACGTGTCTCACGCGTATTATTTCCTGTTTTTACGACCTATTAAGTTGTCCAATCATGTGGGCTCCCATAAATTTTGTATAAACGTGTTGCGACAATTTTCATGACTTGATTTGATAAAAATATTTACCTCTGCAACATACCAGGAAAATTTTGATATGATTCGGTAGTGGCTAGTAGTGTAATCTGGCATCGACTGCGGAGATTCACATATATCTGACGAATCCTAAACAAGAAGAATCGCACGGCATGGATCCCACCGCTAGTCACCGCTAATCAAATGACAGCATAATTAGTCTCCAGGCAATTTCAAGGCATCTGCAAAGGAGTTCATATATCAGAAGAGCTTAGAAGCTTCAATCCAGTATACTATTAATTTAGAAGTTAGAGATGTCAAGAAATAATATCTGAAAAGTGTCTATGGAAAGGAGATGGTGGACCTCAGTGTTTCAACATACTTCTTATAAGTTTTTCTCATTAGTCGTTCGTCTGATCAATCTAGAATTATGCCCAAACGGTCTGATTGATGAAGAAATCTCAGCTCGAATATACAAAGCCAGTTTGGCATTTACCAACCTGCGTCAACTGTGGTGCCGACTGGCAAGATCATCGACCTTTTATCGAAGGGTGACTAAACAGCACCGCAGTCCGTTCTGTCCTGTTTTACAGCCATGTCTTACATGGCCGTTGAAAGTAGAAGAAATAAAGCGATTACAAGGTCTTGATGACAGATCTCCTCGTAGCTCTACTCACGTTTGGTGGAATCACAGTATGAGCAATGTTGAGATCAGACCAAGGGGAGACAGGCAAGTCGACTGATGAAGTTATCAACCCTAGTCGACTAAGATGGTTTGGACACGCACTGGACATGTCAATCCACCGCCATGCTTGGAGTAGTTGGAAGAGGATTCAGGGTGGCGAGACAGAGAACTTGCATCGGTCGATGAAGTGTCTCGCTGTTGGTCTAATTCATGTGAGGAGATGTAGACTGCCTAGTTTGGAATCCCGAGGAGAGAGGAATCAGTGATTGAGAAGTCTTAGTGATATGGGTGGAAATCGGTCGTGATGACGCAAATGTATTTACTGCTTGACATCTTTTGAATGAGGAATATTGACACTAACCTTAATCTCCCGATGGTTTATTCTCTCACACAACTTTGTGTACTTTGATATCAGTGTTTTTCTATCGACCTGTTGTTTGCATACTACTGTGAAGTGTGATAACTTGAGCTGATGCAGTTGTGTTATAGTTTCTACGTTGATTTTGTCAGTCAGTCAGCCAATTGACTGACTGGTACATTACCGTGAAAAATCAGGTTTTATTCCACAAATTTTTCTTTCCAAGAAATCTCAACATTATTTTATGTATCTGTTTGTTTTCCTTATGAATATTCTTATTCAATGGGAAGAATTCAATAGATTTTTGGTATGGTCGACGTTTTTTTAGCTGCCTGCTTCCTGTATGTATAGTGTAGCCAATAGATAACAGTTAAGTCAACATCAATAAAAAAAGGTGTTTTTGTGAATGTTTTATAAAGGAATGGATTACTCGTCAGTCTGTTTTTTCAGTCTCATCATATGCATCGGTCTCTTCAACAGTCCCAATGAAGGAAGATATAAGCGTAGTACTCTGAGAAATAATGCTTCATGTCACTTTGTTCATCAGTTCGATAACTTTGAAGTAGTTTTAACAGTTAGCTATTAGTACCAACAAGACATATCACCCGTATAATGTTGAACATTTTAACTGTAGACTAATAATTTGCTTTAAGAATAATGTATCGTAAAGAGAAATAGATCTTTCAACTACAGTAAGCAAACATCTACCAATGGTTATTTAGCTCTATAAACATACACTTTAGGTACTGTGCAAACTACTCATAAATTACGCCTATCCATTTCAGTATGAATATTTCGTGAGCATTTAACTTTCTGACATGACAGTTAACTAACTAAGCGGAAGTTACTCATCATCAATTTATCCTAACATTAAATCTCTTAGTTAATCAATGGTGATGATTATGATTATGATGAGGATGATAACGATGAAGATGACGATGATGATGATGAAGATGTTGGAATAGCAGAGGATGCAGAAGACGATGATGATGAAGATGTTGATCGGTTATTATATGAGATGAATATACGAACAGCGTCGGACAGAGGTTTCCAAAAACAACAACAACTACTTATTCAGTTACAAGAGCAAAAACGACGGCAACATGAAGAAGAACAAGAATACTTACAGTCTGATAATTTGGTTAAAAGTCATTTATCTCAAAATGGTTTAGAGGAGCGTACAAAATGGCGTACTTGTCCAACTTTGATAGTAAGTTTAAATGATGTAGTGGAGTGCATTAGTACGCGGTAAATTTCACGTCATTTATTACCAACTCACTCATTCATCTGTGTGTTGTAAGGATAAAATGCACCTTTTCCAAGCATTATAGTTCATGCTTTGAAACTAAACAACTGATTATCTCACGATACTACCTAACACACACCGAATGCTTAGTAAAATTACCACCAATTAATACTCAAAGTTTGTCTAGTGATGTTTTTTTTCTAACCATATTCACTCCAAAGTTAACTATTTCGCCTAACATTTAACTCTTCACCAACACGTATAACCACAATGATAATGGTTAATAATATTCTTAGATGTTCATATTTCTGATAGACCTTTTTTGGGATACATAGATCATCAATGTTGAATTTCATATCCATTATTCTATTATCTTTTGTAAGACACAACTTTACTGACTGTGTGTTTTGTGTCGGAGTAATTAAGAAGACTGAAGAAGTCGTTATGCAAAGAAACACAGTCATCACTGGCTACATTCGACATACAGTCGTCTGATTAATTGGTCACTTGTTTTTACCAGCTGAGCCACTTTCAGATGGTTTATACTGAGTTGACATCACTTTAATGAACTGATTTTGTAAGAAAGTATGTTTCTTTTACTGAATGCAGCAGTATTAGGCATAACATTCAGTGGCCTTGATTGTACTATCGAATAGACTGATTATTCGGAAGCTATTCAATGCATAATCTTCGCTTAACGCTTTTCAATAAGTTCATTCTATTTCTCTCTCTTCATAATCACAAAATTATCCTAGATAATCTAGTTGCTGATTTCTTTATTTTAAGAACAAGATATTCAGCGAAGAGACTCTTTTCAACAAATTTATTTTCAAGCTGTACATTCGTATATATATGATATTTGAAAAATTATATCCCGTGAGGAAAACTAAATACTATATGATGATGACAATAATAATAAAACGGATGATGACACTGGTATTTGTGATTATGATAACAATTGAAGTATGAATGATAACAAAGTAGGTTACGTAATATATTGAATGGTTCATAGGTGTATAGCTCAGAAAGGAGTGAAAAGATTGATGAAAATTATAAGCATTATGTAATAAGACTAGACAAGTTGGTCGAGATGATATCAATATTTTCTCAAAAGAATAGGACGATTAAGCGAACTAACCCCCCAAAACTAATCAAAGTGAAGGCAAATATGATAACAATAATAGTGATAAAGGAAGTATACAAAGAGTAAATTAACAAAGGAGGAGGGGTAACTAATGGGAGTGGGAAAATGTTATGGCCATGGTAAAAACAATAACTGTACATACCTCTTTTGTACAGACATCAGGTTTTAGTTCATGAATAACTAAAGCCTGCGCTGTTTTAAGGAGTTGAAAACGAAAACGTGGGAGGTTTGGGCGAATTCGATAAATAATTTTTAAGTGATTGTCTGGGTTTATAGAGTGATAGAAATCAATCAGATGTTTTAGAATCGAACTTCTAACAGACTTTCTTTCACCATTATAAAACCAAGCAGGAATATGTTATCGTATACGTGTGGAAAGCATTCTCTGGCTACGGCCGATGTACCTTGCTTCACAAAAGCAGGTGAACTGGTAGATGCAAACATTTTAACCACTTTATTGTATTGCGTAAGCTGACCTTTTGGTTGATGATGAACCACTGAGCCTTTCCGATGGAGTTCGAATCCACCTTTTACATATAGCTGAGGCTAGAGGAATTCGAATAAGCAATCCAAAGCTCCGTATCCAAAAGACATTTGTACAGTCTTTATTCCTGCCTTGACCAGGGAGAAGTTAATGAACGACTTTACTTATGAACCTTAAAATGTACTCCTTTTTATTTTATTTAATTTTGTCACCTCTTTCACACTACTACTATATTCACATTCAACTCTTATTTGTTCATAGTCATCAACCTCCAGTATTACACAACCTTATTGTCCTTTTTTGTTTTTCAATCTTTGAACTACATTGTTTGTCTATCTGTCTGAACACCTTTTTGCATTGTCGTGTCATTATGAACATTCTTATTAACCTATTTACAATCCATATTCCTTGTTGTCGTTGTCCCGAAAATTACGTTGATTTACAGGCAGTAATACCCGTCGCACAAAAATTGTTTGTCGTGGCTTGTTGGTGTGGTGTTTAAAACGATCACTCCCGAATCTGAATCCCGGTGGGTACAAAACCACTCACTGGGAGGTAGGTACATCCAGCTGACTCGTCCTAAGTAGGACGAAGTGCACGTCCTGGATTCCACTGCCAGCCACGATCCATCATTATTATAATTGCCTTGATGGGTTGGTATTTTACAAATATGTTGAAAGTAATGTATATTAGAGTGATGTGTGATGAGATCTAGTTGAAAACAATATTGTTCGCTTACATGTCTTTTTGTAATGAAAATCACCAAATAATAATAATGTCAACATGTAATATTATCATTATTTGTTTATTGCCGATAATATGATGAGCAATAAAAGATAATTTCCAATATTTATAAATATCTTTCAAATCAATCAGTTATTAACCACATGAGCAATGTCATTACGTATAATGAAGCCATTCTTTTGATCAGATCAGTGAGGAATAGTCAGTAGTGATTGATTTACTGAATTTAATGATATTTCATCAAACCAATAGCTACTTATCGATAGTGATAATGGATTTAGTGTGTATTGCATTTAGTTCAAACTACTTGTCATAATAATTTGTCGTATGTATTCTGTACTCCTTTTTTTGTTTTATACTATTGTCCCATTACTCTGTATTCTTTCATCCAACTGATATCAGCCTTTGAAAGTTTAGTATGATGATTTTTAGAAGAATACAAGTATGTTGTGCAACTGATTAGGCTATCACTCTTGACTAATTCTAATATTATCGTCAGGTGATCTTGAGAAGTTATTTTAATTTTCAAAGAAAATACCGATAATATTTGATGGCTTTTTGTTATTTACATAGTTGACTGATGATTATGCTAAATTGTTGATCATATGTAAAAGCTAATAACGACTATAGTTATTTGTCTTGGCATGCACCTGTGGATCTGTATCTCAATGAATATTCGGACACTTGTGTCTTTACTATTAAGTTGTTCAATTTCAACCTAAACTTCTACAACCACTACATGTCATTAGTAGTATAGTTAGCCATTAATGCACAATCTCTGTAATATTTCCTCTGCTATGAGTTTCAAGTGTAAAATCCATATTTTATACACTGATGGCATTTAAATATTTCAGTAGTGGTCATATTGTTTCGGGAATCAACAAATAAAGCATTCATACTTCTGTTGTTGCACTATATATTCAATAAAACTACAACAGTTAGTAATCTGTTTGACTATCTGAAATAGCTGTGGTTTGGCAGACTTGGATTATTGATACTGTGTGTGTCGGCTCGATATCCGACCATCTATCAAAGGGTGACTATACAGCATCGCAGTCCGTTCTGTCCTGTTTTACAGCCATGTCTTACATGGCCGTTGAAAGTAGAAGAAATAAAGCGATTACAAGGTCTTGACCACAGATCTCCTCGTAGCTCTACTCACGTTTGGTGGAATCACAGTATGAGCAATGTTGAGATCAGACCAAGGAGAGACAGGCAAGTCGACTGATGAAGTTATCAACCCTAGTCGACTAAGATGGTTTGGACACGCACTGGACATGTCAATCCACCGCCATGCTTGGAGTAGTTGGAAGAGGATTCAGGGTGGCGAGACAGAGACCTTGCATCGGTCGATGAAGTGTCTCGCTGTTGGTCTAATTCATGTGAGGAGATGTAGACTGCCTAGTTTGGAATCCCGAGGAGAGAGGAACCAGTGATTGAGAAGTCTTAGTGATATGGGTGGAAATCGGTTGTCATGATGCAAATGTATTTACTGCTTGACATCTTTTGAATGAGGAATATTGACACTAACCTTAATCTCCCGATTGTTTATTCTCTCACACAACTTTGTGTACTTTGATATCAGTGTTTTTCTATCGACCTGTTGTTTGCATACTACTGTGAAGTGTGATAACTTGAGCTGATGCAGTTGTGTGATAGTTTCTACGTTGATTTTGTCAGTCAGTCAGTCAGTCAAATGACCGAAAGATAAGTGAGTTTCATGCTTGTGGCAGGTTTACAGTTACCAGCCTTCAGCTTACTGCCCCATTGCTATTCTAACTGACCTGCGAAGCTAATCTGCTCATCCGATCTTAACTCCAGTCCAGTCCCCAATGATTTTTCCTCATTGTAGTGTAGCTAAGATGTGGTGAGCAGTTGGCTCTTACAGCTTAATTGGTAGAATACTGGACCGGTAATCTAGAGGTTGCTGGATGGAATCCTGTCGTGACTCGGATTCTCATTACATCTTCAGTCATCTATATAGCATCACTTAGCCATCTGCTACACTGAAAAGTATTTGTAAAAGCATTTCCCTTGATATCAACTTAACCTGACTCAAATGTTAAACGGCAGTGTTATCGTTAATGTATAGTCAGTGTTGCATAATTTCACTTCACAAGTTATCTTACATTGCAGCAATATACTTATTACTGGTAGATTTCTCTTATCTATATTGTTTGTCAAGGGAATGATTGAGGAAACAAAGAAAGCTTGTATTGAGCACATATCCTGTGATTTAGAGAATTTTAAAGGTATTCTTTTTATTCACCAAAAACTGTATGATTCCTTCTATGAATGGAGAAAACTCTAGCTGTACTAAAGTTTGCGGTATTTTTCGCGTTACGCAGTTTATGTGTATTCGTTTATTTTTCACCGATTGAGTATCTTAAACGTCTCTTCAGTGATAATTACTCATTATTGCTCACACCAGTCCAACATTTTGTTGACTAAGTTGAGCACTTACTGTCGCCAATTGAAAAGGAATTGTTTTATCATTCTGTCTAACACCGACTGGCGACAACATTTACAATAGTGAGATGATTGTTTTTGTAAATTAGTTTGCTTATAAATTATTGAATTATGACATTTTTA